CTAATGACCAGTGATGTTGAGTATTTTTTCACGTTGGTCGGCCTCATAAATGTCTTCTTTTGTAAACTGTTCATATCCTTCGCCCACTTTTGAATGGGTTTGTTTGTTTTTTTTCTTGTACATTTGTTTTAGTTCTTTGTAGATTCTGGGTATCAGCCCTTTGTCAGATGGGTAGATTGCAAATATTTTTTCCCATTCTGTTGGTTGCTGGTTCACTCTACTGATAGTTTATTTTGCTGTGCAGAACTCAGGTTTCATTAGATCCCACTTGTCTATTTTGGCTTTTGGTATTGTAGTCATGAAGTCCTTGCCCATGCCTATGTCCTGAATGGTATTCCCTAGGTTTTCTTCTAGGGTTTTTACGGTGTTAGGTCTTATGTTTAAATCTTTAATCCATCTTGAGTTAATGTTAGTGTAAGGTGTGAGGAAAGGGTCCAATTCAGCTTTCTGCAGATGGCTAACCAGTTTTCCCAACACCATATTAAACAGGAATCTTTTCCCAATTGCTTGTTTTTGTCAGGTTTGTCAAAACCCACAATCAGATGGTTGCAGATGTGTGGCATTACTTCCGAGGCCTCTGAACAATATAAAAATTTTAAGACATCAACTTGTTCCCCATAAATAAAACTGCAATGTGTCAATTAAAAATAAAATTTGCCTTTGAATATGTCGGTACAAATGATACAATGAAAGGACTGGAAAAAATTTTAAGACTGTACTAAATTTTTTTTTTTAGACAGGATTTTACTTTGTCAACCAGGCTGGAGTACAGTGGTACAGTGATAACTCACTGCAGTCTTAAGCTCCTGGCCTCAAGCAATCCTCCCGTCTCAGCCTCGTGAGTAGTTACGACTACAGACTACAGTTGCATGCCACCACACTCAGCTAATTTTTAATTATTTTGGTAGAGACAGGGATCTTGTTTTGTTGCTTAGGCTGGTCTCGAACTTCTAGCCTTGGGTGATCCTCCCACCTAGGCCTCCCAAAGTGTTGGGATAACAGGTATGAGCCACCATGCCAGGCATGTGACATTATTTTTATATACTCTTGAAGATTTTTTTTCACCTTTCACTAGATAATAGATCAACATATTTTTAAGAGTGTTCCCTAACTCCGCCAATGTTTGCTATTATTATATAGTGTACTGCATCAGGCCATTTACAAAGAGGACAAAAAGACTATAAAAACCAACTTCCACAAGGACTTGCTATGTATTTAACAAAGAATTATCAGAGAGCAATGGACTGAAGAAAGCCTATATGAATAATAGAGTTTGTTTTAAATACATCAAAAATCCACTATAAAAATAAGGATAAGGCTGAGTATGGTGGCACACACCTGTAATCCCAACACTTTGGGAAGTTGATGTGGGAGGGCTGCTTGAGGTCAGGGGAGGCCAGCCTGGCCAACGGTTACCACCGCAAATTTGAAAACAAAAATATAAACAAAATGATACATGTACAACCTAACAGCTGAATACTATCAAATTATAGGTCAAAAGTTACTTTTATAAGAATAATTTAAATGTAGCTTATACCACATTCTTCACATTAAGCATGTGAACAGTATGCATACAATTTTTTTGATGTGAAAACTCAAAATAATGTTTATACCTGATCAAAGGGCTAAAACATATCACACACTAAAAACCCACTATTTAGTTATGTAAACTGATTAACACCTAAGAAGAGAACAATCAAATATTTTACTGAAATTATGTTCCAGAAAGTTAACAAATGTTTCCATTTAACACTGAATTTTAGAACATAATTGGAAAGTACAGTGCTTGGCAATTTAAAAATGAAAAAGAAATACCTAAAGAGTAATTTGAATTTACCGTATCAGTTGGCAAACAATACTTCAAAGAAGAAAGGAGAGAGAGAGACTGCCAACACTAATCTAAATGAACATGTTACTCTGGCAATTCTTGGTAGAAAGTTCACTGGTACTTCTGTGTTATTAAACTGATGATCTCTTACTTAAAAAGAGTGTGAGTGAATGCACCAACAGAACACATGCCAGGTGAACTACAGAAAATAATTTAGCTCATTTTAAGAGTAAATAATTATAAGATAAAAGTGGTATCCTGAAAGTGCTAATTATCTGTTGGCTAATTACAGACTGCTTTTCAATCCAGCTCTAGAACACATCATGTAGTTATACTTGTACAACAGGAACCTCTTCAGTAACCTTTAAACAAAAGAATAAAACATAAATAACATGAAAAGTTATTGGCTGAATTCAGACTTAGAGAGAACAGAGTGTACCTGTTGATCCATGGTGTGGTACAGGTATTTATACTACTCTCAGTTGTTACTCAACTTGAGAACAAAAATATAACAAAAGCAAGAAATGAACTAATCTATACTTAGCATAGCCAGATACATTTCGAATATAAGGTTTCCAGAGGTCACAATCCCTCACCCCTTTTCTACTATAGTTTTTAATGATGGTAGAAGAAAATCAAATAAAGAAAAGCTCAAAGGGGAAAGAACATAGAGATCCCAATTTTAGTGAGATATATTTGAAAATTAAGAAGACATAAAAGATGTATTTTATTTATAGCACCTATACTAAATATAGAAATTCAGAAATACAATTTAATCCAGGAAACATTAATGTCTTTGCTTCTTAGTCCATTTCCCCTTAGCGCACTTTCAGTGCACCAAGGGTAGAAATTGTGTATTATTTAGCCCTAGTGCTCAGTCTAGAGAAGTCAAAAATTTGTTACTGGCTATAGCTGTGTCCTGGGAAGACAGGGGATTAAGTCTTCTTTCTTCTGTCCTACAGTTTCCCATTGTTGTATAATGGGCATGCCTCTTAGTTTGAAAAGGTGGTTTGAAGAAAATGAGAGGAGAAGCTTAAAGGTATGACTAACAATCCTGCAGAAGGGAATGCACAATTTAATGTTTCCCACTGAATTCTATAAATCTCTAGAAATTCTTACTATGAGAATTTCATTCCCTTGCTATATTGTGACAAATGCCCAAACATCTACAAGCAGACAAACAGGTTTTAATATAAATCCACCACATATTTCTTTACTTTGTGGGAAACTGCCTTTCATTGCATGATTCTGGATTTATTTGTCTATAGGAATAAAACGAAATGTCCGTAAGGTGAAGAGCGACCACATACCTGCTTTTAAACCCATCCATTCTGTGTCCTCTGAGAACTTCCTCTAAAACTCCCATCCCCTGAGTCTCTCTCTACCCCTTGAGAAGCCACTGAATTCTCCTACCTTCTTTTCCCTTCATATCCCCCCTCCTCTTCACTAGGACACAAACTCCTTCTCTCATCTACCATCCACCCTCTGCAATCCATCTTCCTCTCCAATCACTCTTTGGAACTCACTCTGAGGTTAACCCCCAAATCCAAGTCTTTTACTAAAACAACTTTTATTATGGAAGTTTTAAGGAATATTCAGGAGCAGAGAGATTAATAACTCATTAAATCCCTAAGTATCCATCACTCAGTGTTGGACAATTACTGACTTGAGGCCTATTTTTTTCAGCTGTTCCTCTCCTCTGACAACTCCAATAGATTATTATGAAGCAAACTCCAGATACCCTATCATTTCATTCACAAATATTTCAGTGCAGATCTCCAAACAGTAAAAATACCTTCAAAGAACAAAACCACAATACCATTAACACAACCCCCAAAATTTAATTTCTTAACATCAGTGTTTAGATTCCTACAGGCTCTTTTAAAACAGAATCTCTCCATAGGGTTTTCCTCCACCCCTTAATGTCCCGCCCCTTTCCACTGTCATTTCCTCCCTATTTTCGTGCTTCTGTAATATTCCTTCAGAAATCTCTTTCCTCTTGCTGCCTCTGATTCTCTTCTCATTAAGGTTTAAAAGCGGGGTTGGCAAACTGGCCTGCGATGACCGTATGTTTTCATAAATAAGTTTTATTGGAACAGTCATGCACATTCATTTACATATTGCCCATCTCTACTTTAGAGCTGCAATGGCAGAATAAGTTAGTTCTCTCATGGGCAAGAGAGAACATAATGTCTGCAAACCTAAGATATTTGCTATCCTGTAGGTTGAAAAAAAGTTTTTTTGATCCCTGAAGCTATTAGCAATAATCTGCAGTTCCACAACCTTGCACTCTGGCAAGAATTCTACTAATCCCATCTACTATGATCCAATTGGAAGTGCCTCGGCCATTCGATTACAGTGTTTCAGAAAGAAACCAACTATTACTCCTCCTTCAAGTTATCCTTCACAGCCACTAGAGCAAAATTCCTAAGATGATAATCTAAATCACATAAAATTTGTTCTGCTTTAAAAAAAAAAAAACAAGCAAACAAACTAAACCACAAACTTAGGTGGTTCCCCAGTAATATTTTTAGCTTTAATACATGCTTTTTAAAAAATAACTGGATCCAACCTGACTTCCAAACACTGAAAACTCCTAGTCATAGCACATTATTCCATGAGTCCCTATATAAGCCATCCTTCCATGCCTTTGTTCATTTTGTTCCTTCTGCCTCAAACACCCTTCCTACGACATTGTCTATCTTTCCATTATTGCCATAAAAAAAAAAAAAAAAGTTTTTATTATCAAGTTGCCTCACCTGTAAAAAAAAATTTTTTTTTTTTTTTTTTTTGAAACAAATTCTCACTCTATTGACCAGGCTGGAGTGCAGTAGTGTGATCTTGGCTCACTGCAACCACTCTTCCCAGGTTCAAGCAATTCTCATGCCTTATCCTCCCAAACAGCACCTGCTACCACGCTTGACTAATTTTTTTGTCTTTTTAATAGAGACAAAGTTTCGCTATGTTGGTCAGGCTGGTTTCAAACTCCTGGCCTCAAGCGATCTGTCCACTGTGGCCTCCCAAAGTGCTTGGATTATAGGTATAAGCCACTATGCCCAGCCCAAAATATTTTTTATTTAAAAAAAAAAAAAATCGAAATCCATACTCTAAGTAGAGGTTTTTCCATTAGAACCATTTCCAAATTAAGTTTTCTTTTTTTTTTTTTTCTTCAGGGATATGTTAAGAGTCCTGCAATTTATCCAGCCACTGATGAAGCTGGTTAGAGCTGGCAGGAACTCCAAATTATTCTTGCATACACTGTCCCCCCTGCCTGGCCATGAGCACAGTCAGGCAAGGTCTACGAGTATGCCCTCCAAATTAAGTTTTAACTTTCTCTCTTTATGCTGTAAGAAGTTTAATCGACTTGTATATACATCACTCAAAAAACCAGTAACTGTGTACAGAATGGAGAAAGGACTCCTGACTTAAGTATACAACAAAACCAGGTTACATCTTTAAAATTTAATAAAAAGAAGTGGGGATGGGAAGGTGAAGAAGTTACTGGTTTAAAAATCAGCTTCTGTTATGGTTAAACATTACATCTGAAAACAGGAAAATGGAGATTCACCTGGGTTTCTAGCTAAAATCAAGACTGAGCTGAGCTGAATCACTAAAACACACTAGAGTTATGATGAAATCTTTTAACTGTGATAAAATATTACTGAATATAAAAGCAAAGTATCTATATCAACATCAAAAGAGTATCTGGTAGGATATAATAATCACTTTACTATGCTTTAGATTCAAAATATCCAAATGCTCTTAGTTTTAAACAAACAAAAATTTCCAATAAGCAAAAAAGAACATTTTTTGCCAAAATATATTACATGTATATAAAAGGCTTATTAGCTAGTTGACAGTCTCCCTTAGGATTGGCTTTTAACTCATGATAAACTAATATGGCACAAACATTTTACTCTTTTGCTATAGGTTTCTCCTCATTTCAGCAAACTCACCCAGATGTTACCTACTTACTTGCATTTCCACACAGTATCTCTACTGAAGATCCCTGTGAAGTCTGGGAGTCAATTTTTACCCAATTCAGTGTTGCTGTCTAAACCTACTTGATCAGTGATGAATAGCTGCTGAGCCCTCAAGTCAGTCATGGTGGAATTTTCCAGTTGCTTTGTGTTCCATTCACATATAGTTTAGAAGGTGGCATGGAGTATCAGTAGATCTATAACTCTTTAGGATGAATTTGTGACAGCATGACCTGAAATGCAGGTATATGATTTCTGTCTAAAAATCATAAACCTCTCATCAATATCTGGGGACATGTTTATCAACAAGAGTGCAAGGACTGCGCTGCTTATGGCTTTTCTGACATCAAATCTAGCTCATTCAATAGCACAAAGAGCCAAATGTGCAGTGATTTCTTCAATTTCCCAAATGCACTAAATAAACCCAGAACGCCAAATTTGCTGTCCTGGGCACACTCTGTTCTTCTCAAAAAAGAAAACACAAATGACCAATTCTGCAGATCATGAAAGGACATAAATTTTCTGAAGGTCTTCAGCCATATAACACTCTTCAATAGACTAGAAAGCCATATTGCCATGAGCTATGAATCTACTGTTGTGTATTATTTCTTCATTAGCAGATAAGGGTGAGTTGTGCCACCTGGAAAACTGAGGAATTATTTTTTGGAAACAGATTTTTAGAATTGAAAGAAACCTTAGAAACCATTTAGCCTCAGACCCTACAGGTTAAAAATAATGAAATCTAAATCCCTACAAATTAAGCCACTTGCCCAAAATCAAACCACTGGTAAATGGAAGCATCTGGTCACGCTTTCAACTCAGGTCATAGTGCCTCTTGAGAAACAGATTAGAGGAAAAATATTAAAATATTTTAGCAAATCGGAGAGGCATGAAGCCACTTTGAGGGCATTCTCATTACTCTGTAAATTCCAAATATAGTAGAAAGTATGTGATCTTAAAATTACCTAGAGTGTTTGTAAAGCTACTACTTTGTTACATAAAATATGATTTCTAATACATTAAGGCGGCAAAACTTAATGTATTAGAAAACACCAGAATTGAATTCCTAATAATGTCATGTCTTCTATTCATTTCGAAAGACACTTTTTCTATTCAGGAAAACATGGATCTTTCTTTTTAAAATTTAAACAAATTACAAAGCAGCAACATCAATAATAGTGATAGCAGCCAATACTCCCGAGCATTAACACTTTTTTTATTTTTATTTTACAAAGATTGGCCACGATGGCCAGGCTGGTCTTGAACTCCTGACCTCAGGTGATCCACTCCCTCAGCCTCCCAAAGTGCTAGGATTACAGGCGTGAGCCACCGCGCCCGGCACTCCTGAGCATTTATTATGTGCCAGGCATTGAGCTAAGAGCTTTCTATGCACTGTATTCCATCTTTATAACATGGCTATGAAGTACATTTACAATTCTAGGTCACAGAGCTACTGAAAGGCCATGCTTTTAGCCACCACCCTAGACTGTCTCTTATTAGGCCTTAATTTGGCTGAGATTGAGTAAAAAGATGCTACTTTGTAAATAGGGAGGCAATTATAGATGACCACTAATAAAATTTTTAAAGCACAAAAAAAACAACTAAATATAACTACCAACACACCACTCTCCCAATCAGGCCTCCATTTTGATAAACTGATTTAAGAGGGATTAATTTTTACAAGATTATTTCTGTCTATATTTAATCACTCATCTTGAAAGCTGTTTCACTAATACATTAAAAACATATTGCTTCAATATCTAGTATATAAAGTTACTTTTTAAAAATGAAATAAAATTGAAAATGTATAGGACAGCACAGCAACTGTATCCTGAAGGCAGCACATACCTTCTCCTTCCAGAGTTTACAATAAACATCTACCAGTTAGAACAATGAGCCCGTGGGCAGAGTTTCTGACTGTGTGTAGACATTCTTCCCTGAACAGCGTATAGGGCTAGGCATACAGCCCACAGAGTCTTTACTCTTTTAAGAGCCCACGTGACATTTGAACACCTTTAAGACTTTGATAGGAAACAATACTGCTTTACACATTTTGGTATTTTAATGAAGGAATCCACACTAACTGAATCTTAGTAAAGGTGCTCCAATACCTAATCTCCTCCATTCCACTCCCCTTAATTTTTATTACTAATGATAACATTATCAAGTATTTATCTTTCTGTTTTGAGGCCAAAGGGTAGCAAGAATTTAAAGGGCACCAACAACTTTAAAGTAGTAAGATTATTCCTGAAAACGAGTTGTTTTAATCAGTCCAGACTTGTAGACAAGATTTTTAAAGTATCCTTCTTTCAGAAAGAAAAAAATATTTTAAGTACTTGAAATCTTCTGACTTCAAATTTTAGGTAAATAAATAAATTCCAGATAGCCAGAAGAAATATTACTTTAGGTATACACTGTCATGAATTCAAAGTTTAGCAAGACATCTCGAAGGAAAGGGTCTCTCCATGTCATTATGAATGCATCATTACCATCACTGCCCTTCAAGTCCTTTCAGAGAGATACCTAACACTGCTCCCTAAACAGCAGAATGCATCTTTAGTTTTCTTTTTGTTCTTTGTTTTATTCTTTTCTCATTGCTTCCTTTTTTTTTTTTTTTTTTTACAAGTTATAATAAGCACCACTAGAATTCAACAGAAAAAGAATGGGCTAAACATCCTATGCTGAGGATAGAATCAATAGTCATACCTCAGCTTACTATTTATACATTATCTATAGTTGTTTCCTCTTCAAAACTGAGACTGAAAGAATGGGAAAACGTTAAGACTCTAAACCATCATCTATTAAAAGTTATAATGGAATATAATTGCTACTATAGAACAAGAACATAAACTTTAAAAATGTACCAGGATAGGGGTAAGGACAAAAGACATCATTATACATGCTAGTTTAAAGATTTTATTTGGAATGAATTACATAAATTGCCATATTTTTAAGACTGGGCTTAATTATCTATTGATACTACAATAAAACTATGTAAAATTGTTCTGCTAGGCAGTTTTATTCATCAGATGTAAAAATATTTCCCATACAATCTAAATGAAATTCGTATTCTACCATCCTTTTGATGAAAAACTATTGCTGGTATTAAGAGTAAAAATTAAAATGAATTCTGGTAAATTATATATTCATCTCACACACTAACATGGCACTAGAAAATTTACCTATTCATCTAGAGAATTATAGCAAACATCAGTATATGTAAACACAATGTATCTTTCCTGTAAGCAAGTCTCCTATTGCAATTTTATTTTAAAAGGAACATTTAAAATTGTTTAGTATGTTCTCACTCGTAAGTGGGTGTTAAACAATGAGAACACATGGACACAGGGAGAGGAACATCACATACTGGGGCCTGTCAGGGGGTGGGGCGCTGGAGAGGGACAACGGGGGAGGGGGGCAGGGAGGGACAGCATTAGTAGAAATACCTAATGCAGATGACAGGGTGATGGATGCAGCAAACCACCATGGCATGTTTATACCTATGTAACAAACCTACATGTTCTGCACATGTACCCCAGAACTTAAAGTATAATAATAATTTTTAAAAAATTGTATGTCTTTGAGAAGCTGTTACTGTTGATTACAGGTCACTTTTTAAAAAATTGTCTGCAGACAATTTCACTCCTGAGGTAGACAGGTTCTACTAACACTATTTTCTTGAAATGTAGACAATGTTTGTTCCTTTTAAAAATTTTCTTAGTTATTTCTAAAGCACATTTAACTCAGCAATTAAAGCTAAAGGTATAAGGTAAAAAAACATTGAAATCTAGTACTAAAAATATAAAATTATTACAACATAAGAAAAATACGAAATTAAGAGACCGAGATTTTTTTCTTTTCTAATGAAAAGATAACAAAGTCAATTACTAAACAGACTAGTTTTCAGTTTTATACCAACTAAAATGTAATAAATAGGCCTACTTTTATTGGCAATGTTGTTTTAATTACATTATATTTGTTTGCTTTTAAACAGATGTTTGTATGTTATAATTTGACCAGAGTTAAGGAAAGAAAGGCATTCTGAATTCTGTGCTAGGTAGAGGAGTGAGGAGAAAAAGTGGTTTAACTGATGACCTTCTATTTTCCAGTCCAGTGGTTCTCAATGTGTGTTTCTGGACCAGCAGGATCTATATCATGTGGAAACTTGGTAGAAATGCAAATTCTCAGGCATTAACCCCACACCTACAGAATCAGAAGCTCCATGGGTGGGGCCCACCAATCTGTGCTCAACTAACCCTTCAGGAGAATATAAAGCCCACTCAAGCATGAGAACCACTGCTCCAGCCTGTAAAACCATGTCCTTTCATCACCCCCTTAACCATGTCATTGCACATATTTTTCCCCTAGTGTTCACATTTCTAACAGGATTAATATCCAGAAGATAGAGCCCCAGAGTTCCAAAATGCATCAAGGAAAGAAGATAGAAGAGTTTAAAAAGGAAAAAAAAAAGTTAAACAAATGCATGCACATGTATGTGAACATGTATGCACATATGACAACACAGGGAAGTCAGTGGCAGAGAGAAGAGGCAGCATCAACTGGGACTATATGCAGCTGGAAATACAATGCGGCACTTGGAGGAAATTCAAAACAGCTCCAGATGAGAAGGGCAACGAATCCTATAAATCTACAAGCATTTAAAAGTACCTTACAGCAATAATAACATGTCAGCTACAAGAGCCATAGTTAGTTATCGGTAACATTTAGTAAAAGGTCAAATAAAGTCCAATTCGTTCTCATGTAAGTTGTAAATACCACATGAAGGTATGCATACACATGTAAGGTAAACTCTGTCCCACTGTTAATACAGTAAAAGTTAAACAGAATACTGTATAGTAGCCCATATAATAATAGTGGTGATCTTCTCAAATGGAGGTCCTCACTTCTCCAGAGCTGATGGTCACTAATTTAAATCCCAGGGCTAGTTATTCCCCCAACTCTTATAAACTACTTAATCCTAAAGCTGGTGCCTGGCTTTATACAATCTTGTTTTCTATGAAAATGATCTTACAAAAAACCAAAAAACAAGTTTTCTTCTTTTACTTTACACTTACAAGAAGGTAGCTGAAGTTTTAAAAATCGCTTTTAAGAAGCCAAGGAAACCAAACAGAAGCATTATGAGATGAAAGTATTTACTGAAGCTAGATAGGCATTTGAAAAGCTAGGCTCTAATCCAAGTTAGTCACAAGTCCGGCCACAAGGAAAATGTTAATAAAGGTTTCTGACTTTGCATGGATTCTTAGAATATTCCATTTTTTGTATAAAATACATAACGGAATTCACACATTAACTGTGTTTAAATTAACAAAATTACTATGTGGTATTTTATATGTAATAATTCAAAAAGTAACAAAATAACCTGATTTCCAACACACATACTTCCCCAACTAACCAAATCAAAGCTTTTAAGCTCCAATATTTTGAGTTCTTGCCAAAGGAAAGCAAAACAGAGTTACCAAGGAACCAGTGATTTCGGGGGTTCTTGTAACTAGGAACGAGTACACAATAATCAGGAAGCAGGAAAAAAAAAGGGGGATAGGTTTACAATCTTTCTAAAAAGAAGACCCACCTTACTACCAGTCTATCCCACATTTCATTTCAAAACAGCGAAATGAAGGTTATTAAAGCAGCTAGCAGCTTTTGCAATGGCCTATGTTTGAAACTAGGAAGAATGCATCTTAACTGTGTGAAGAAAAGTGATCCTAGCACTCACCCAGTTTCTTTTGATAAAAGCTGCTCTGGCTCAATCTCTGTGATTATAAACCTATCCCAGAGCACCTGTAAACAACGGCTTATTTGTCAGAGGATCCCAGTCAGAATAATCCCTGCAGCATTATCATGCAACAAAAAGCAGAAAACTGAAGCATCAAGGGAAATGAAATTATCATTTATGTAGAAGAAACAAGATAAATGAACAACAGCTGATATTTGGAGTTTTGTTTAGCCTAGGTCCAATGGATTCCAATAATCTATACTGAACAGTTTCTACATAACAAGAGCCTGGCTATTTCATTCTACAGAGAGGTTACCTAAACAAATATTTGAAAAATGACTTCTTTAAGATGTAAATGTTTTCTAGATATTACATAGCCAGTACTGAACTGACCTAGGCCATTTGACACAAATGGTGAGGTATGAAAAAGCTACAGTACCAAAATAGCGCTACCCAGTCTTAAAATCCCCCAAGTCAGCAATTCTGATAAAGTGACAACTCAATGTTGCTTCTACCAGATTAAACCCTTAAGTGTTAAAAGTTTTTATGGGAGAAGTCTCATTTACACAGTACTGAGAAATCACGTCATGCTACTGAAGAGAAGTAGGGTATGACATTATTTCTTATTCCAACTTCTGATAGGCTTTTTAGAATTACAAAAACCTTTAGCGTTACTTTGGGGAAACCTTAAACACAACAGCCACTGTCACAAATACTATGTTTATAATTTAACTGTTACCTAGAATTAGAAAGAACAACCAATAACTAGACTACACAATAATCTCAAAAGAACTTAATCAGTATTGCTAACGCATTTTTCACCAAACTGTATGTTGTCTTTGGTATTCAAAACAGAATTAGGTCCAACTTCTGAAGAATCTGAATAATGTGACCTTTCCTTTGGCCCTATTTCAAGAAGGATATATCTCAATTTAAAAGCTATAACCTGATGTGAACTCTTTAAATACAAGTAATTTGGCACAATTTAAAATCCAGTATGGTAGGTGGCATTAAAGAGCTGAATTAAGAATGAGAAGTATATTTATCTGTTATTCACTGACTTGAAAGACTGTACTTCTTTCACTTACTCTGTTCTCTCTTAATAGAGGAAAACAAAAGGAAAAGATAACTTGCTATGAGGACCTACGTTTTGGCTGTGACGTCCACATACTGTCCAGGACGAAAATGAGCAGCATAGAGAGGAGTGCCTTATGAAAAGAAAATGAACAATCAATATGAAATTTCACAGCACAGAAACAACTTTATTCAACATAAACTATATTCAGGAAGGCTTCTAGCTATCTGATTTCAAAAACGGTTAAGATGTTCTCTTCTGCAATTAGAAACATCCAAAAAATGAAATTATTCAACAAACGTCTTTTGATTGACGATGGATGGGTCAGAGCAGTATGGCCCAGGACAAGGCACACAGTGCTAGGTTGAAGGCACCAGACCATACCTGACTGACAGACTGGTGCCTTCACAGAGACCTAAAGTGGTGCTATCTCGAAATGAGTGATTCCCATGACAGCACAATGTTCTTGCTGTTAAACACAGAAATCTGATGATTCTTGGTTGTTTTGCTGAATAACAGTATACTGAATTAAGACCTATGTCTTGTTTTCACATAGGGAAAACAAAAACAACTAAAACATGTTGGGGCTTGATGAAATATCTTGTACCCATTGGAGAAACAGGAAACAATTACTTGTACCCAAGTCCCTCATATGCTGGGTAATGATCATGGTATGTATGGCATCTATATAAAACCTCTACATATCAGATTTTGGGTGAACTACTTAGTCATTGTACCAGTAAAATATAGTCCTCCAGTTCACACCTAGATATTTAGAATAAAAAATTGCCTTTATACTCTTTTAATTGTATATAGAAACATTTACAAAACTAGTTGTATGCAAATAAAGTCTTACCTTAAATGTACTTGGGAGATATTATTTAAATTTTGTGATAAATCAAAGTCCTTCATAAGATTGTTTACATAAACTTGAAACTAACATTTATGAGAACTATTTGGCAATTAATTAGCAAACATTTATAGGACACTTACAAATACGTGCAGCTACAAATTCAAGAATGTAAGACATGGCCCCCGACAGCGAGAAATATGTTATCTTGAAGAATAAACATTAACATCTTTAAATAAGATACACTACTTTTTAAAACGACAGAAATCACTGTAGTAGAGAATGTAACTGAAATTTGATTATAGTTATAGTTTATTTAGTATAAGCAATAAAGGGCTGTAGGATTTCAGGGGGGAACCTCCTTTAATTTAGGACCCAACCTGGATTTATATAGGCAGAGAAAAACCTTGAATGAATATAGAGACTTAATCAATCCACATTATCTACATATTATCAAAACATCACACACTATTACCCCATATGAATATATAATTATGATTTGTCAATCAAAAATAGTATTAATTTTTAAAAAAGAAATTAAAAGTGACCTTTTATGAGGCTGAATTGCTGATTTCTGACTCACAAAAAGAATTTTATATGAATCGAGCTACAGCAAAAGTTAATGTGGGCTTAATTTTATCTTTATGATAAACA